AATAATAGTATAGTCGTTGACATAAGTAAGTGAATTTTTTTGTTCTGTCGTTAGAGTGCAGATTTTATTGGCCTGATACTCGTGCAGGAGCTGTAGTTCATTGCGCCTCAGCTATCTACTTCGCTATGTTAAGTTGCGAACGTGGCACACGCCTCTGGTTGGGCTTGCAGACATCATCCGTGGAGTCATACCATGCTTGTTGAAATGTTAGCGGGTGAGGGTTGAATGGTCTCGTCATTGGAGTGAGAGATTTTTCCCAGTTTAATCCTTCACAGTGTTTTGATCTTTGTGTGTGCAATTTAATTGTTATATAGGGTTACTCCCTGTTAGAGTAATTGATTGGCTTTTAAACCGGTAAATATCTGTCCATGAAATATTGATTTTCTGGAAAATTTTGCCGTTATCTTTTGAGATAAGCCTGAAGCGAATATAGTCTTCTGTCTCATCATGTATCGGTGGTGTAGCTAGGAAGATTTATTAATTGATATTCATGGACTAAATTTCTCTAATGGTGTTTTAGTTTCTGTTTCTTCTATATAAGATTTTCTTAGATGTTCTCTCAGTGGCTATGCAGGCCATCAGAGTAGAATTACTGCAGATTCCTGCGGCGTCACGTCCTAGCTTGCTCTTCCTTCACTGGCAGCCTTTTGTGCATTCAGTAAGCGCATCAACAGAGCTCATTGTGAGTATCTGGGGGCGCTTCATTACTTGGGCGCAAGTCCATGGTGGGTAAATAGATTGTTTTGGATGATGTGTATGTATGATGAGTGGGTAATACTATACGCACTGGTACTGGGTTTTGTCTGATTTTTCTTCTAAAGAACAAGGAAAGCAAGGTATCTTCAATGTTGGTTAGAAAGTGGGTTGTATTGCAGTTTTTTTATCTTTTGGCTGAGCTGTGATGTTATTCTTCCTGTGATTTGTCTTTTTTTGTTTTTTGTTTTATTGTGTATTGTGATGTGTTGGTGTGTTTTGTTGCATTTTGGTTCCCTGGGTTGTAGCTCATCTTTGTTTTTGAGTCGAGCGAAGCATTCTGTGTTGTGTTATCGTGGTGAAGTTTGGGTTTTGTTTTAAGCTTAACATAGCAGTTTGTGTGTTATTCGCTGTTGTGTTGCTTTTTTGTGGTTTGTTTTGTGTGTGGTAGAGGTGCTGCTGTTTTTATTTAGTTTGATTTTTTTGGTATTGTTGGTAGTGTTTTAGTGATTTTATTTGGTTTGTGTCTTTAGAGTTAGTTTCATGTTGTTGTTTCGTTTTTGTTTGGTTTGGTGGTGGTATAGTGTATTAGTTTCTCTGGTTACAGGTTTTATGGGTTTTTTGTTGTGTTGTGCGATCTTAGAGATTTTTCCTTTTTTTTATATTATGACCTGAAGATTGTTGTTACTTTGTTATATTTTATTTGGTGTAGTTAATATAATAGGTAAATACAGTTTAGTTGGGTAAATTAATTTTGATATTACAATGTAGGAGTTAATTGAAAATGAAAGTATTTTTTGGGAAGACGTGTAATAATGGCAGGGTTGCAGTGATTTGGTGGATTTTATTATAAACATGATATATGTATTTGGGTCGATGGGAAAAAGATAGTTAAGAAAGCTTTGGGATTGGGTAGAATAATGTGGGAGGAGAGTAAAGAAATTGTAAAAAAATGAATTATGTATGGTTGGTTAACAACGATGGAGTGAGTAATAGCTTGGTGTTTTTAGATGAGGTCTGTTGTTGTGGATTATGAGTGATGCGGTGTCAGATTCTGAAAGGTGATTTTTGCAAATTGAGCATTTGAGTTAATTGGATTGATTTTAATGTATTAATATTTTATATATTATTATTATTTATTGTATGTATTTATTTAATATGAAGATTAATATTTATAGTTTTAACGATATTTTAGGTTATGTCTTTTATTTAGTGATTTCTGGCATGACGTTGATTGTAGTGTTATTATTGTAATAAAGATGTATTTAATGTTTTGTCAAGTACTTATTTATTCATTAATGAGGAGGGGGAGAAATATTTAGTAACTTGGGATTGGGGGGGGTGTGATGAGGCGGAGAGAGGGTAATCAAATATGGAGTTGTCGGTGTAGATAACGTATATTACTGAAGTTTAATGAGTAGATTGAGCAGGATATGAACAAATGAATGCTGTTGCATTTAGTGTCTGATGTGGTAAAGTGTAGAAGGATAGTGTAGTTGTTTGAGGTTACATTGGTTTATTGTGGGTTGAAGCATGATTATATATGATTTTGACGGATTTTTTTGTATTATATGTTATAGGTATGATGGGTGGGACGTTGTGTTGTATGTGGTTTTGGGTAATTCAATCTTTAATATTAAAACTTCATAAATATGTGGATGACAATATACTATATGATATATACCACGTGTGTATAGCTTTTATGTTATGTGTGGTGATGGAAGATGACTAACCAGGCAGGAAGGCAGATGCATGACAGAGTTGGCCTCACAGTGAAGGAAGGTATCAGTGCCCTGCTGGTCGGCTAATGCCCACAGATGAGCTGTATAAAGAGACAGTGCAGTGATACCAGAGTAATTAATATATACAATGATATATTTATATACACTTACTGGTAATTATATATATATATAAATATAAATAAACTGTGTGTACTTTACCTGCCAGTACGAGGTGAGCTCTGGTTCTGTCACTTTTTGTTGGGAGGAGAAAGTCCTCAAAGGCTGCCCTCACCTCCGGATTGGTTAGAGCCAGGAGGTCGTCAGTGTCATTATTAGACGGACCAATCAGACTGCAGATAAGGATCCAAATAGGTTTAATATCGGTTCCTCCTTTAGGGTTCTTGTCTACAATTTTACTTAATATCTGAACAGGCTGTTTTTCCTTAAATGTGTATTCCTGAAACATGGAGGAAATCTAAAAGCACAAAATCAGTGTCGGCTGTCAAAATGGTCGTCCAACATTAATTGTTAAGTGTATTCAATTTCAGGTGAAAAGAGAAATATGTATTGGAAAAATAAAAACTGTACTATACTAACTGTCTGCAAGTAAAGACTTCACTTTTAAGTCGTTTAGGATTAATACCTTTTTAAACTGTGCACTATATGGGTGAAAGTTGCCATGGGAATACGTCCTAAGGGCTTCCTGGACAGATGCAGTAATTCCTGCCATGTGACCTGTCCGTCCTTTGAGGATAGGTCGCTGCATGTGTTCAGTACAGAGTACAAGTCTCTTTCCCTCAGGCCTGTCAATCAAGAGGAGAAAAAGAGGAGGCAACTGAAGATAGTTAAGCAATTTACCGCTTTGGTTATAACATCTCTTTTAAAATGCACATACCTAACAATTTACCCAATGTAGCACTTCATAAAGATTAAAAATAATGCTAAAAATGATGTAAAAGCATCTTACCAGCGGTGCTGACAGTGAGTACTGCCAGAGCCCAGCGGAGTCCCAGCAAGCCTCTGTACTGCGAGCAGAGTCGGTCCAGGCTATACTGCACCAACTGGCTCAGAGACTGAGGCAATTCCTGAAGGTTCTCCTTCAACTAAGACAACAAGTATTCGTTGTAATCCTTGTTTTTTTTATAAATCAACAAATAGGTTATCATATGCACGCACCAAGTTAAACTGGTAGCAGGGTAGGCTAATATGTCAGTGTCAAGATTAGCAACATTTACTGTGCTTTGTGTCTAGTGCAAAAAAGCTTGCTAACACATTTTACCTGCTAAACATTATCAAAATATCATCATCATTATGAGCATGTTAGCATTTTAACTCAAGTTAAGTCTCACAGAGCTGCTAGCATGGCTAAGTCTTGTTTAAAAGGTCCATTGTATAACATTAAGGATTATTTTAGGAGCTTATTATAAGACTGGAAGGGGAGGGTGAAGCAACTGATTTACAACCAACAATCACACTGCTAGACCTACACTACATCCTTATCAGCTTCTTTACTGGTGTTACATATTGTAAAGTTTCATGTAAGCATCCACCCAATACATATCATTGATACAGCCCACCTGAAATACAGGCAGTAAAACCATTGTGAAAGTGTCTAAAAAAGGGATATAAAACCTTATCAAAGGAGGCAAAGTTCCGTAAGTCTTCACAGGCCAGGTGCAGGTAGAGAGGACTCACTGCTCCCTTCTTCATGATCAGCGTCTGGAGCTGGACAACCAAACACAGCATAGCTTTTGTTAATGTGGGGCAAACTGATGAGTATCAATGGCAGCATCATGCACAGACATTAAGTATTTTAAACATTGTGATGTCTACAGTGCAAAACATATAAGAAGAACCTGGTTGTTGAATGCAGAATCACTGAGTTTCTTCCCGAACGTGTCCAGGCCCTTCTGAACTATCTCCTTCCGGTCCGGCATGGTAAGCTGTCCCAGGGCAAACAGGACAGTGCTTTTTTTCTTCGCCAGGGTTTGTAACAGTGCCGCTTTGGATGTGATGCTCACTACCAAACAAACACCCTGAGAAGAAAAAGATGAATCTCAGTTTATTTGTTGCAGAGAAGTGCCTAAAAACCCATCCATAAAGAAAGCAACCAGTGTATATTAATGTAGACGAACTGCTCAGGAAAACACTAATCCCATAAATACAATATATTTTTGTCTTGCATTCAAATCACACAACTTATGATGATTAATGTTTCAGCAGCTTGAAACAATCCATGTAACTGACCTGTGGGAGCTGCTGTGGTATCCAATCAGAGCTCAGCTGACCTTTGCCATCTCGGACAAGATCCACCCCATCAACTACCAGCACCAGAGGTTTTTTCTTCTTCATGTCACTCAAGCTAGAGTGAAATTCTGACAGCAAATCTCTGTGATAAGAAAAAGAGAAAGCAATAGTTGCTTTGTCAATATGACGTATCTGTAAGTCTATTAATCTATTAACTATTTTAAGGACAATAAAAACATCTATGTACTTGTAAGAATGGGGAAGAGGTGATTCCTCCTCAGTATCTTTTATCTCCCTTAACAACTGAATGAGACATTGAAGCAGGGTTTCCACAGAGCGTGCTGATTGGCTGGCAGCTGTAGAGTAGGAAATCACATCACAGACGAAGTTTGTCCTGGATTTAACTCCGGTCCTGAGGGCTCCTGCTAGAGCAGCCTGTGTGGAGAGAGATACATATGGGTAGCAGCAATGTAGAGAATGTACACAAGGTAGCCAGTTTATTAGGCACAGTTAAGTAAAGATAAAGCAGTCCAATAATACATTCATTACAGGCAGATTAATCAATTAAAGTAATCGTTAGTTGCAACCCTCATTCAAAATCAACCAGGTTCAAATAAATGTCAACACATCTAACAGCTAAAACAATAACTTGGACACTGAATAATGATAATCAGACGTTTTTCTCCAGTGCAACTGTACATGTAATCAAGAGGTTAGACTTCCTGATATAAAAACAGATTTAAACAGAAATCCTTTGTTAAATTTACCATGAAGACAGTTTTTCCCTCTCCAGGTCCTCCCTCTACCACCATCAGTCCTCCTTTGGTCTGGACCTGCTCCACTATCTCGACAGCCCCGACCAGCTGCTTCGCCCTGCCGAAGAACTGCCTCTGCAGCGCCCCCTGGTGCACCTCCTGCATAGCCACATCGAACACAGCTTCGTCCTCGTCCTCATCATCCTCCTGCCACAGGGAGAATAATGAGATGTTTATTTGCAGTCTACACTTTAGTTTGAATTCACACCAATCTGTTGTGACTGGACAGAAAATACCCTCAGGCCAAGAGCAAAGATTGTATGGTAAATTTTGTCATTTTAATGGTTTCACACAGTGGTGAACAGCAAGGTTATTATAGTAAAACATGTGGACCAGTTTATAAAAGATGCATTATTGTAGATTAAAATACCCAACAGCATACTTGGGCTATATTTGTACCACTTACATATTCAGGCATTTTTAATATTGATCCAATAAAACAACACAGAAAGGAAGCATTCTGTATAATGAGTACTTTTACTTTAAGTACATTACGTTGCAAATACTGTTCTACTTGTTATACTGTTATGGAGTATTTTTATAGTGCTGTAAGTAAATCATAAGTAAAATTCCATCACATAGCTAAGTTTGGTTAATGAGGAGCTTGCAAATTAAACTGAATTGTCAGAGTAACTAACCTCCACAAACTGCTTTACTACAGCCATCCACAGGTCTTCCAGCACAGCTTTGCCAAAGTCTTCCAGGTTTTTCAGATACGGTTTTCCCTCCACAACACCTCCCCACTCACACCGGTAACTACGACAGACAAGAAAATGATGACTTAAAATGATGCGGGTGAATTTCAGAATTCTATCTATAGTTTTAGCAAAAATATTGAACTGATCTACTACTTTTAAAATAAAAGTCTTAAATGAGTAGTATTCTAAAAGTGTAGTGAACTGCTGTTTAAATAATACAGTAGGATTATAAATAAGATGACTCACTTTTCAACAACCTTGATTTCAGATCGGATCATTCTCTTCAGAGACGCCATTTTAGACTCAGCCTCCTTTGATTCAGGAACAAAGTCAGATCTCCAAGCCACTGGAACTGATCTGAGAATCAGCGGAGGAAAATTAATATTTCGACATAAAAAACTTAAAAGGACCAGTGTGTAGAATCTAGTGACATCTAGTGGACTGTAGAAACATAGTGGTTCGACATGGCGGTCTCCATAGAAGTGGACCCGCTCCCTCTGTAGATAAAAATGTTTGATTTTAAGGTAACAAAACAAAACTATTCTTTCTGTTTAGGCGATTATACATTAATGAAAACATGCCTATGAATATTATATTCCATCTTCCAATAGATCCTCTTAAATATTAAACACTGGACCTTTAAATGGATTTACACCCAATTGTGTCTTATTACAGCACTGAAACGAAAATTAATTTGAAGGGATTAGTAATTAATTCAAAAGACTAATTTATTAAAACTTAAAGAGTTCAAAGAGAAACGTTGTGATGTGTGAATGTGAGTATGTATTGCATACTTGATGATGTTTGGATCTCTGAAGTAGCAGAACATTCGCTGGTGGTCTGTGTCGGGGTAAAGAGCCTGAAACTGACGGATCTCCATCTCCGTGATGGACAGGCCCGGTGGGGCCGTCGCCAGCTGCACGTAAAGAAAGAAATTATTCTTCTTGTAAAATTTTAAAGAATATTTTAAAATTCAAATTCACATTTAAAACAAATAATGTCCATTCTTACCCAGCTGTACTGCGGAAGGTCAGGGAGGTCAAGTTTGGGAGGCACCAGGCCGTACCTCTCCCCCAGGATTCCTACCAGCATCTGGCTGCGACACACCTCTGACAGGCACAGCTCGGTGGCCCGCCCCGACTCCTCCTCTGTCACACCCCAACGCAGCTCCACCTCCTGCAGGTAGAGGCAGTGTGGCGCAGCACGACGCCGGAGCTCTGGGAACACGCTCTGCACCAAGATGTCGCGTTCAGCGTGCATGTCTCTGAAGGTGGAGGAGATGAACACACGTACACCTCGCCACCTGAAGGACAGAGGAAGCAGTTGGTGTTAAATAAATGAGGAAAAGGCATCTTCAATGTTAAGAGTCAAGTTAAAAAACTTCTCAGAATTGCTTCTTTGCCATGAAATAAGAATTACCTTAACTTGGGGCTGGGTGGTATTGTAGCGATATCGTTGGTGGTCTGAGGGCCTTTAGCTCCTTCTGGTGGTGGGATGTTGTACAGTTTGTCTAAATGCTCCACATGGTCGAGGAGCCTGGATGATCCTCGTTCTGCCACAAACCTGGTCACATAGTTCAAGAAATCATTAAACATTTTGGGAAAAGCGCTTATTCACTTGGATGAGAAGACTGACACCACTCTCATCTGTAAAGCTACAGTCAGCAGCTGGTTAGTTATAATCCTTGAAACAATAAATGAATAAATGTGTTCCTAACACTAACAATATATCATAATTAGAAAGCCAAGGTCTGTTTTCTAGTGCCATCAAGCTTAACATTTCTTACATTTACATAAATAATAAAATAATATTTCTGGATTAAAATGAGCAACCGGATATTTTACCTCAGCATTTGTTCACTGAAACCCGTCAGCTGCACACAGTTTCTGTCAGGAACGTCCTCTCTGTATCTGCAAGAAGTCAATACAACAATGAATGCACTCAGGATAAGTTAGAAACAGGAAGGCAAACAGAAACCAACGCAATGCATATTAAAAAATACCTGTTTATGCTGAAAGAATGTTGTTAAAAAACAGAAATGGTCAGTGTTAAGGTACACCAGTCACTGTGATTGGATTAATTGCAACTTCAGCTTCCCAATATTGTTTGTAAGAAACTAGAGTCATAGCAGCTACTGAAGAAAATTGGAGCATTACCCCTCTGAAAAGTAGATTTGCACCTCGAGGGCTTTGTTGTTTATTTCCCTCTTGTAGTTGTTGACGGTCCAACTGATATTATTTGAGATCCAGCCATCAGTCAACACGATGATGTTGTCCACCTGAAATACAAAAACATGTAAGGTCAAGGATCACAAGGAAGTGTCTTATACTGCTCTAAATGAGTGGGTCATCATCACCATGATGGCTGGGACAAGTTGTTGACATGGTTTGCGACTCCTGAAGTTTGGGGAGGCTTGGGGAGTAATAGTTTACATGAAACCGAGTCACAAAATGTTTTTTATGATGCTAAAAAATCTTATTGTCATTTCTTTTCCTCTTTCCTCTTAGTTTTATTTACATACTTGGTGTTGAGGTAATCCAAAAGTAATGGAAAGTAATCAAGTTACATTACTTTAATATTGTATACTTGGTTTAGGTTGCTGACTACTTTTTAAATGATTAATTGTATCAGATTACATTTTTAAAGCAATCCTTTCTTGTGGCCAACTGAAAAATCATCTAAAGATATTTGTTGCTTTAAGGTTGTTTTAATGTCCTTAACATTTATTGTGTAAGCATTTATCATTTATTAAAAAAAGCTAAATAAAGAATATTGATCCATTTTTTTTATGTGAAAAACTAAATTTAATTACCCTTTAACTCTCCCCTAAAGACCACTGATTTCATTTTGTTTTAATTATAAAACTAAGAATTATTATCCTAATAATCAAAATAAACTGTATGTACAAATAACCTTGTTATTCTTGGTGATAATCGTGAAGAGTTCATCTCGTTCTTCTTTCTCTGGCATCCTATCAAGTGACTGTGAAAGAGAAGTGTTCATTAATAAATGCAAAATTAAAACAGAAACGTTCTTCCAAACACAACTAGTCTGTTATTCTACCAATGCAGAAAACATATTTCTTAGATACTTCACTTTTGTTCATTCACTCTACAGGAAAGCTGGTTTTAAAAGAGGATGAAAGTAACTTTTCATTACGTAGTCAAGATCAAGTCAAGTCAAGATGGACACAGAAGGAAATAAAAGTTCTGACCTTTATTTTCTTCATCACACTCCTGACGTTGTCCAAAAGAACATCAGACTTCAGCTCGACTTGTTGGCTGTCATCCCAACGAGTTAAGAGGAGCTGAAAGTCCTCTGCACTACTGGCAATCATTAGAGAGAGTAAAACTGCCACCTCCATTTTCTGAGAATGTAAAAGCCGAGAGAAACCAGTAAAAAAAACAATATATGGTTGAAACAACACTAATTGAGTAAGAGTCAAATAGCTGGGATTCCCTTTCTTAATTAGAAGAAAACAGGCCCTTACAGAAGGAGTGAGCTCGTCATCCTCCTCTTTTTTCTTCCTCCCTCTCCTCCCTCTCTTGCAGGACACTTCCTCTTCCTCTTTCTCTTCTTCTTCCTTTTCCTTTTCCTTCTCCTCTTCCTCTTCCTTATTTTTTTGCTCAGGATCTGGTGGGAGGCAGAAGTCCTGTTTCGGGAGCGGATCGGTGCTGATGTTAGTGGAGAGCAGGATAATGGTCCGTCCAGGTAGTGGGGGCACATTGTAACGACAGGAGATCTGAACCGCCGTCTCCAGAGCTTTGCGGTAGCGGTCCAAGAGAGCGACTGTGTACTCCCTCTGACTGGGTGCACAGAAACACGCAGTTACATTATAAACTTTCTTTTTAATCCATGCAGATGTCAGTTTGTATTTATTATCTTTTTAGCTGATCTAAAAAACACATTTTCCATCACTGTGAAAAACTGCACTTTTTTTTCTTTAAAATTTTTTTGTGAGAAGCAGTTTTGTTGTGATGATTTCTTGTTACACATTTTCAGGATAGAAATATCGATAAAGTATTTTTTAGAATTGATATAATGTCACAAAACAAAATTCAATATTTTTTTTTTTTTCTTGCACCCCTAATTATAAAAAAGAAAAACACTGAAACTAACATTTTTAAACATTAAAAACTAAACTGAAACAAGAAACCCCACTCTGGGAATTAACTGAAACTGGACTGAATTGAAAACCAAAATTAAAACCAAAATAAAAAATAATTAAAAATAATATAAAAACACTAGAATAACTCTAGTAGGTATGTAGACTTTACTTATCCCAAGTTGGGGAATTCTTTTGCCACTAAACTCTACACACTTGACCTTTAATTGGTAAAGCTACAGACAACAAAAACAACTGAACGTTTAAATTTAAAATGTGATCAGATAGAGAGAATAACTATTAACTATTATAACTAAAACTACTAAAACTCATACTTGGCCTTTAGGAGCTGGGTCTTCTTTATTCGGTAGAGTCGATAGACAAATGGCACTCCGAGCGTCACCCTGATCCTGCTCCTCGCAGTCGTATCCCAGTCCAGACGATTGAAGCGCTTGCCCTTGGGAATCTTCTTCAGGATGCCCTTCAGGATCTCTTTAACAGGGGGGAGTGCCTGCGTTGATACTGAGGCTAGAGGACAGAGAGGCAAAGAGGGGGTACTGTAATGTGTTTTTTTCCGTTGCATATCACAGGTTAGGCTGATATTGATGTATATGTATCTCACCCATAGTGTGAAGCTCCATGATGACTTTGTAGGCAGCGAGGAACCTGAAGGGAAACTGTCGACTCTGAATAACTGCTTTCTGTAAGAGCATCAAAAACATAGATACACAAAGCAACTGACAAACACATACAGCGTAAGACTCTTCCTCTGATAAAGAAAAAAGGCTCAGAATACAACAAGTCATCAATCTGGACAACTTTTACTTTACGATATTTAAAATATGGATTTAGTTCATGCTTCACTCTCACCTTATTGGTCAGCCTGCTGAGGATCTTCTTGTGATGAGCCTCGCTGATTCCCTTAGTGATCATGTTCCTCAGGTTTCTCAGCATCGCCATGAATGGAAGAGACTTATTGTCTGCACAGCAGAGACATTATTTATCAATATGTGTGATCATGGACATGTTTGTGTTTAGTATTTATAGGTGTTACATGCATACATTGTGTGTGTTTTCTTCTTTCTCGTAAAGTGTAGTGTACTGGATTTGCATAACTAGTTAATTTAATATTCATGTATGCATTAGCAAATGTGTATTATTGCTTTTTTGATTCCATATATGGATATAGGTGCACAAAGGTGATTATGCTAATAAAGAAAAATGCCCCAAAATATATATATTTAAAAAATAAGTAAATTCTCCCACTGATACAGTAAATACACTTATTCCATCTTGTGAAAGGCTTATTAAAACCTAGGTCAGGGTCAAAACAAAACTAAGCAAATGTGATACTGTATCACTGTATTACAATGTTTTGGTAACTTTAAATACATATTGGGCCTCACGCAAGAAGCCATTTACAAACAAAATATAACCACGATTTGTTCTTATTTTGTTAGGACCCATGGATTTCTGGGATTCACCAATGTTTTATTGTTTTTGCTCTCAAAATGTTATTAGGGGTTGAAAGCAGTCTATTTAAAATAAGAACAAAACACAGTCTAAAAATTGTTTGTCCAAATGTGAGGAAACATTTTAACATTTTAAATTTGAGGAACAAAAGGCATGAATACTTAGAATAATTATAGTAATTGGATTATTAAATGTGTGGGCTTAAGAAATACCATTGCCCCATTGATTGATATTAAATTTGTAAAAACTGCATGCATTCATCTTCTTGGTTATTTTAATAGGTTCTGGAGTGGACTTCTCTTACATTTATCTTTCTTATATTTTCTTTTCTTATCTCTTATATTTTCTCTTAACAGAAAATTAAGAGAAAATATAAGGTACATTTAAGAGAATGTCGCTGCATGAGGCCCATTGCCATGTAATTTGGATCACCACTGAGACCCAGCAGTGCTTCCACTGTTCTGGACAGCAAGCCTGTGCATGTTGACAAGGTGGAGCTTGAAATGTGATACAGACAACTGCTGCGAAATAAGATTTGAATGAAATTCCCTGGATAAATGAAAGGAACAGGGTCTGTCTGTATGTGCTCAGCAGACCTATGAGCTTTTCCCAGGTGGCGGCCTTGTTGCCCTGCTGACTGAGCAGCCGTTCCCAGGTCTCTGGCTCTTTGAGCTTCATCCGCTTCCCGGCTCTCTCCCTTTCCCAAACGCCCTTCATTCCACTGTGGGTGAATGTCTTCAGGTCAGCAGGATACCTGGGACCAACACAACCATATTTTAAAATGTAGAAGACATAAGTCACTTGCCTCTAGGACAAGAGAGATATTACAACAGGCCTGAGAATCTAACCAGACCTTTTTATCCTCATTCTCTCCTCCTCTGTCTACGTTTCTATCTTTACAGAAGCTTAAAGTGGGGTATGTAATGAAGAGAACACAGTTCTTGTGCAGGTAACTGCACTTTTGTGCACATTTTCATTTCCCTAAAAGTTTGTCTGACTAAACCCTCTACAAACTATTTTACAAAAAACAGCAGAATAAGTGTGTTTGTGTGGCTTACTTTTTTCCCAGGATGGCCATAACGTGTTCAGCCGGTTCTTTAATGTGGAGTTTCTTGATCATCTTCTTCATACTGAACTCACCCTGCTTTTTATCCACCACCACCACTTTGCTGCTCTCTGTATGCAACTGCACACACACACACACACACATAAACCAGTGTTTGAACAGGAGTGTGCTGCTGCACAGCGAAGATTAGCTAACTATACAGCAGAAAGAAATCTGATGAACACCAATACGGTGGGTTTTGGTGTTCAGAATTAATATTTTTATTACAATCTGCACTGCATCCATATCTGCATGCACAGCACTGGTGGATGTAAATTAAAAGCACCTACTGTCTAATAATGCAGTAGGTTCATTCAGGCCTTTATCTTCTAAAATTACTTTTTTTTAAAACACTTAAATTCTTGAAATGTGAAAATATAAAAAATGTAATTAGTGACACAATGAAAGAATATTGTATATTTACTTACAAACTTTGACAGAATAGATGCATCTGATCTGAGCAAGTTCGCCCACTTTTTCAGCGTCTGACCATTTGGTTTCTGGAAATCAAAGAGAGTATATGTTTATAGAAGACAAAACATGGAGAGATGAACACCGGAGTGTCAATTTTGTGTTAATAACATGGGTGCAATATTAATATGAACCTTAGTTCTAACATTGAACTAATTTCCTGCTTCTGTACCTTGGCTTTGGGCTTGTTGCGGTTGTGTTTACAGCGGTGTTTGCGTGTGTTGTATTTGGCCAGCTGATACTCGCTGAACTGCTTGAACTTGTCAGCCATTGCCTTCTTCAGGCACATTGGCAGGGAGCGGCTAAAGCACTGGAGACACACATACATTGTTAAGACCGCACAGATACAAACAGAACTGAAACATCCAGATTCCACCAGACTTACTGTACTATACATTCTGACGACTTCCAGCCAATCTGAGGGCAGCTGCACAGCGGCACAGAAGTATCTGCGGACATGTGGCTTGGTGGAGGCCTGATTGGCAGCCAGAGCCAATAAGAAGTTTGCTGTGATGCGGATGTTCAGCTGCTGTCGAGTGTAAACTGCCACCTGAATGGTAAAGGAAAGAACAAGCACACTGTACATGACTGGCGGAAATTATTATAACCCTTTAACTCTCACCCCAAACACCGCAGATCAAAGGCAGACCGTTAACCACTGTCTGTGGCAACCTAGAGGCACACCACACGCAACACTTCCAAAACCTTTCTACGTAAATTCAACCATCAAAAACATTACAATATAGGTCACTCAAAACATCTGTGCTGTGATGTACCTCAGAAACATCCAGAAGACTTTAAAAGGAGATACCTGACAAGGAGTTTCCTTGCATGCAGTAAAAAAGCTTCAGTATAACAAGAAATTGGTGTAAAACTATGTAAACATATAAATATAACCTGTACAAACCGTATAATTAAAAACCAAGACCATCAAGGAAAAGAGCAATGAATTGACATTGTTTAAAAATAATGTATTCAGACCTGGAAAAGGAAATATTTTCCACACACATTGAGTAAAGTGGATTATTTACATAAAACAAGATGCCGATTAAGTAACTCTACATATGGAATAACTGTAAATCAAAATGTGTGTATATATATTTTTTTTTTAAATCATGTACCATGTTGTCATATTGTGCTGAATCCTCCCCTTCAAATATTTGAATAATATATATTTAAATATTTGTATCAACTTTCTTATGATGAATTCATACACATAAATACAATACATGTTTCTTTTTCTGGGTTGTTTTTCCCGATTAGTTGTCCATGATAACGGGATGATAAAGTCCCAGTTTGGTTGAAACATTACCGATTTAGAGTTAAAATAAAAGTTCAGGAGTTACAATCCAGTCTGGGATTGAAATAAAATTGCTTTCAGACACACAAAGCCACCCAGACAGACATACAAACACACCTTGAGAAGAAACTGCGGGTCATAGACAGAAATGTCCTTCGCCAGGTTTGTGATCTTGGTCCAAACACTGTCCTTTGCGTCCCAGTCCGTCTGGCCCGGAGCTGTGCTTTTATTGACCAGGGAGCAACACACCTCGTTCAGCAGGAGATACTGAGGGACAGAGGAGTTAAAGTCACTTTAATCAACAAAGGAATTTCTACATTTCTATGACACACAGTACATATGCAGTGTGAAATATTTTCTCCCACCTTTTTGTCTTTTAGCTCCTCTTCGATCTTATTATCTTCTCTTTCAACCTCAGCAAATTCCTCCTGTCTGATGGCCAAAGCAGGTTCAAGTTCCTGGTTGCCTAACTCTGTTTCCAGGACAGGTAATTCCATGTTTGTCCCAGCAACGTCATCCACCTCCACTTCGGGCAAAATATCATCTTCCTCAGATTGAGTCTGATGCAGAAGAAGTTACATTAAAACAATAACACCATCAAATGGGATGCATTAAACATGGTGTTTGATAAATATTTTAAATAAGAATGTATCAGCAGCCAAAGTAACACTAAAGTTCAGGGTTCCAGGATTTTTTTATTGACAAAGCAGGACAGCACTTGTGTCCATCATTTATAGGACACGCTTGGCTGTTCTCACCACAGCCAATTCTGATTCTTAATAAAACTAACTAAGGCTCTGTTCCATTTAGTGTAGCAGGGCCTTTTCCAGTGAGCCAACAGGCCCCCTGACTCTGTTTGACCTGAATGGAACGTAAACTTAATTCATAACACCAGTGTTTACCCTACTATTTCCTACTAATTCCTCTAACTGTAAGATTAATTTGGCCACAGCACAGGCTAAAATTCATTTATAATTTTCCAGGACAACAATAGTCCCAGCCAGGTGTTTCCATGACTGGAAAACTATTCTCTAAATCTCCAGGTTTTCCAGGATGTGTGGGAACCCTGAAGTTTGTGCAAACAGACAAAATGTAAAATAGAACAAGTCATGTACCACACTTATTTCTTCGAAACAGGACTGCATCATTTCAGATGTCTCCTCTCTGCCTTCCTCTTCTCCGTCATCCCTCTTCTTCTGTTCTCCACCCAGAACGTGATGTAGGAACGAAGGGGGGTGAGCAAAGCGACTCAGCAGAGCACTGCCGGCCAGGGAGGTGGAGAGCAGAGAGTCGTTAGGGACAGAGGTCAGGGAAAAAGATAGAGGTGAATGGCTTTCCAGGAGCTTGTTCTCGGTGCTGAGGAGAGGAGAGGCGAGGGAGGAGGCGGAGAGAAGGGAGGATGAGGCGGTGAGAAGGGAGGAAGCGGAGGTGGAAGACAGGCTGGAGGGCTGCAGAGAGGGGCAAGAGGAGGGTTGTGCAGCAGAGTTCAAGAGTGGAGACCAGGACTGAGGCATCACGGTGGAGGTCTGAGCTAAGAACTTATTCTCCAGACTCAGAGGAGCGTAGTTGGAAGACAAACTTCTCCCACATGTGGCCTGCTGCGGCTCTCCATGGGCCACATTTGCCTGCTGCAAAGTCAACGCCCTCATCTCTGTAAGGAAACACATCAATCAGAAGGTCAAAGTTTGAGCTTCTCCTCACAAACACAATCATAGATAGCATTAAGTGCAGAGACAAGCAGCTCGGCCGCATTTTTCTCTGCTGTTTGAACAAGCATTGTATACTGTAGTTAAGGGTGTGTTGCTTGGCTGAAACCATCCATAAAAAGGGAACAAAGTCTAGAAACACTCTTGGTCAAACGCTGCAAACCACAATCTCAGCTCTTACACCAAATTAAAACTCTTACACTGATTGAAAACATTTAAATAAATGCCAAGAAGTTATTTGATACACTGTAAAACCTTTTAGTAAAGTAGTATTAGACATCCATTCATTAAAAACTAAAGTAACATAAAGCAAAAGACTGTGTGCAGTAAAACCAGGAATTCAACTATCAGACAGAGAATTATATCAATACAACAATGTCATATATAAAATAAACAAGCACTTTAGCAAACATACATCAACTATGACTCAAGAGTTTGTGTGGGTGTGGTGGTTACTGTGAACAACCAGGTTAGACGCAGACAACTCACCGCAATTTAATCTCCACTGACGGAGGGAAGACTGAACAAAGGTGTCCTCTGGTGTGTAATGTTCCTATCTGATGTACAGCTGTGTTAACATCTGTTTCTGAGGCCTATTGAGGGAGAACAGCTCCTGATTTACTGTTTATTTCCTCAACAAACCAGCTGGTTGACGCTGATAGGCCACTATTATTGTGTACTCTTTTACCGTAATAACGCCGATATGGGTTCCCTCAAATAATCGAAAATTAAAAGTCGAATAAAGGCGGAATTTCTTATGAAGAAAGAAAACAATAATCACAAACAAACACAAGAGTTACAAACACAAACATGTCGATAATGTTTAATAATTTTCAGAGGGTGACGTTACCGTAACTATTTGTGTACGACTAGAAGCAGGAAGTGAAATGTTGTAATTCCGGTGCGCTGCTGCAGAGTCAAAATTGAAAAGAAAAAGTGGAGAAATTGAGGCCAGAGAAGGAGAAACTCTACATCATGAAGAACATTTTTAAAAAATCTACCCATAAAAGCCAAAATTTAATATAAATGGGGCAACGTGTACCTCTAAATATTCACTCTTTCTATCATGTATGTGCACTGGATGTGACAGTATGTGTAAGGGTTTGTTTCATTTCTGTAACAGCCAGTAAAGATCAGAGGTCAGGTCACAGATCTAAGGCTAAACTAATGCTGAATTAAAAGAAACGATGGAAATTAAGTCCTTTATCTACTAAATTTCATTGAGTGCACAAACATTACATCACAGCTACTTTTTTACACTATTAACCATATATTTATATATATATATATATATATATATGATAGGTTAGATTAGATAGATACTTTATTCATCCCCAAGGGGAAATTCAAAGTTTCCAGCAGTATCCACAGACTGAAAATAATAACAACAACAACAGGAGGCAAAATGCAAACCAATAAGAACCACATTTTATACACATATACATATTATTATTCATATACATACCCTTTACATACATTTCTTATTTTATCTTATAAAACACATTAAGATTATTTTATTATACCTGTACTGGGCAATTATACTATTATATGTTTTTATATATCATACATATAATTAATAAATGTAATTGCACAGAATTGTATGCTTTAAATATACGAATATAGGCTATATATATGTTACATACATACATACTATATATATCCTACATATAGCCTATGGTCTTATAGATGTGCAATTATGTGCAATTCTATTTATTTACACTGTGCAGCGACCTCCTGCTATAATTTCATCTATCTTTCAAGGCAACATTTAATATATGAGCTATTTATTGCATTGCCTGTTTATATGCAGCTGTCTGACCACAACGCACCATGTCTGTTTTGTAAATGAAAGCACTTCAGTAAGTTTTCGTCTCTGTTGTACTGTGACAGTAAAGTCTGGTGTCAACAGTAAATGTAGTTACAAACAATGACCAGCAGGTGTTGCACTGTGTGAACCTCCCCACCAATAGGTTTCTACACTCTGTCTCAAAAAAATAAATAGAAATGTGGATTATGTTGACAGACAAAAACAAAACAGACATCTCAAGCTGAGCAGTGGGTCGTTGTGTCCCTGCCAATGTTAGGAGCAAACATACGCCTGACAACCAACGATACAGGCGGCTGGGCTCGGTTGCCTGGCATTTGTAATTCCATAATTAATAACAAATATAAACATACAGTAACATCATAAACATGTCAACAGTTTTATGTTTAAAAAATATCTTTATTGTCACTTTTATTAGATATAAGTCAAAAGGTAGAGAACATAGAAGAACATGGCTCCACTTTCTGCAGTGTGTGTGTCTGTGTGTTGAAGTTGTTATAGTTGTATGTGTGTGTTTGTGTGAGTGTGTGTGTATTAAAGGTAATGTGTGTGTTTATGTTTTCGTTGTTGGTGTTTGTGCGTGTATGTCAGAGAGTGAGGAAGTGTGTGTTGAAGTTGTTATTCGTGTGTGTGTGTGTGTTAAAGTGGATGTGTGCGTTTGTGTGCGTGTATGTGATTGTGTGTTAATGCTGTCGGTTTGTATGTATGTCAGAGATTGAGGAAGTGTGTGTTGAAGTTTTTAGAGTTGTATGTGTGTTAAATATGTTGATGTGTGTGTTTGTGTATTAAAGTTGATGTGTATGTGACTGTGTGTTAATGCTGTTGGTGTGTGTGTGTGTGTCAGAGAGTGAGGAAGTGTGTGTTGAAGTTGTTATTTGTGTGTGTGTGTGTGTGTGTGTGTTTGTATTAAAGGTAGTGTGTGTGTTTATGTTTTCGTTGTTGGTGTGTGTGTGTGTGTG